CTATTTCAAGTCAGTTACTGGCACAAACATTGCAATAAATATTTATTGGCTGAATGAAGGGGTGTATGCATTTGGCACCAGCCTGGCAGGACCCTGAACCAAGGGAGCATCTCAGGCCAGACCCAGGAAGGGTATGTTGCTTCCGAGGCCGGCTTCCATTTCACAAGTGTGCACGGGTTTCCTTGGGAGGAAGCCACAGGAAGCAGAGATGGCAGAGATACAGAGAGATGCAGAGATAGACTTACCAAACAGGCTGTCATGAAGAGAGAGGCGAGGGGACAGAAGACAGCACGTCAGGCCAGGAGAGCAGAGCAGTGTGCCTCAGGCCCCTCTGGGAAGCCCCTCCTCAAGTTCACAGCCCACTCAAGCCTTCACTCCTTAACTTCCCAGCGATTCCCACCATCCCTCCCACCCCAGCCCCTGACCATTCCAGTGCGCTTTGGGTACTGTCACACCCTTTCTACAAGGTGAGGCATTCTTAGAGTAAACCCTCCCCCAGGGCCCCAGAGCTGGGCCACCATCCCACTCTTCCCTTGATGCCTGGTGTCCTTGCCACTGGAGCAGGTGCCCCTGGCATGTCCGTCCTCCCACCCTGCAAACGGATCAAAGACCAGAAGGCAGGGCTTGCCTTATGCAAGTCGCTGTGTTCCAGGAAGGGAAATCCTGGGCCGTGGGCATTGCATCAGTCGGCTGCGTTATCAGCTTCTGTGGACAAAGTTGGGCTGTATTTGAGCTTATCTCCGCAGACGTCTGTTTCTCCTGCTGCAGGTCTTGCCTCCTTTACCCTAGAGTCCCAGAGTTAGAAACCTGAGTGACAGCTGCTTCCTCTGTGTCGTAGGCCTGGGTTTAAATCCTGCCTCTGCTTCTGAAGTGCTAGCTCTGTGGCCCTGGGCAGGTCGCCTCACTGTTGGAGCCTGTCTCCTCCTTTGTAAAACAAGGACTGTAAAGGCCTTGCCTCCGAGGCCAGGGGTGCAGTGGTAAAACGGGATAGCGTGTGAGGCTGACCCACATGGAAGGTTCTGGGTTTGTATCTGGAGACCAACCTGAATACGCCAGGCCCACACAGGCCTGAGCCTGGCTGACTGAGGCTGGGGTGGATTGTGGCATCAACCCCCTGTGGTGGGTGCTCTCTCTCGTTCATGGAAGAAATAAATAAACGTCAAGAAAAAGTCCTGTGCCAGCCTGTGGCATGGTGGGCAGGGCTGCTGAATCCCACGTGGCTGACTGCCCAGTTTTGATGCCGGGACCTGGTGGCTTGAGAAACACCTGGGTGAGTGTGCATGCATACCCCAAATTCCGGCAAGAGAGAGTACAGGAGGAGAGACTGCAGGCTGACCAAGGGGATGGTCTCTCTCTCTCTGTCTCTGTCTCTCTCCAGTCAGTGTACATGCCCTCTGGCAAATACATTTAAAACAAATTTTTTAAATAACAAAGTGAGGAAGTCCTTGCTTCATCCTGAGGGCATTAAGTGAGGTGACAAAAATAAAGTGCTGGCACTGACTCAGCAGGAGTTCGCTGGCTCCTGGCGGACTAGCCACTAGAGGGCGTAGGCATGAAGAAATGAAGGCCCAGAGACGCCCAGCCGCTTCCCAGCCACGGCCACTCCATGAGCGGGGCTGATGATAGGGCGGGCTCCCCGGGTTGCTGGCTCCCTATCCCTGAGCAACCCTGGATTCAAGAATTAGCCTCTCATCCCTTTCCCAGCCTCAGGGGTATCCTGGCTACCGCTTCCCAGACAAGCTCGCTCTGCACAAGCCCCTGCTGGCCCGATGGAGGGGGCAGAGGGGAAGCTGTGGCTAACAGAGGCGGCGTGCTCTTTCCTTCCGGCTGCCTGTCCACTCCGGGGCTTGGCAGAGGCTGAGGGCTGGGGTCCCTCATTGCCTGGGGCCACTGCAAAAGCATCTCCCAGGCCCAGCTGCTGTGGCCTAGCTCTAACCCAAGTGGCCTGCGAGGCTGGAAGCCATGTGGTTGACCACATGGTCACAGGTTTGGATCTCTGGGTTAGCTTGGAAAAAAAACCCAACAAAACAAAGCACAGGGTGTGCATTCTGGTGCTGAGAATCCCAGGAGCTGGAGGGCTAGGGGAGCAAGACCCTTTGAGAGTGATCCTCTCTCCCCAGCCCTCGTGTGCACATCCACACACACTTTTTTTTTTTTTTTTTTTTTTCATATTAAGTAGCTCTGAACGCCAAGCTGAGCACCCATGCTGAGACCAAGAGGGGCTATGGGCAAACAGACCCCAAGGCCCAGAGCAGGTGTATGGAATATCCGTCTGCTATCAAACGGTGACAACTGTCACCCAGGAGATGGGACTTCGTCCTGGTTAAGATCGCACACCCTGAGGTCTGTCAGCCTGCCTGCTCCAAATTCAGCCCCGTGCCTCACCTTGGGCAGATGCTGCCCCTATGGAGCCTGCAAAGCTGAAGAGCAGCAGCTGCCCTGCAGGTGGGCCGAGTAAAGGAGTCAACGAGATGCCGGCCAGAGGGCTGCTCGGTGCGTGCCCTGGGGTGAGCGTGACCAAGCCAGAGCTGTGCCCTGGGCACAGTGATCATCCCCGTGCTGTGGGAGGGTGCTCTCCACCATGGCTCCCTTCCCTCTCAGGGCTCCATGAGCTTTAGTCTATGAAAGAAGCGGACAACCAGACTAACAGGAGAAGAAGCACATTATGTTTGTTAGATATGTACTTATACATACATAGGAGTACAGCCCACGTGGAACTCACAGGAGGGCCAGGTGACTGAAGGGCTTTTTTTTTTTTTTTCCAAAAATATTTGCTACAGGGCACATGTGCTTGCTGGAGAAGTAGAGACAAAAAGCAAGAAATCAACCTCCCATCAGGGAATGGCCATGCCACAATCCCTTCCCCTCCCTTCTTCCTCTCAGGATTTTGGGCATGCACATACATGTGTGCAATGTGAGTTTAAAGCTGCTGTTGACTACATGGGAGCCCAGGGCCTTAACCACTATACCACCTGCCAGCCCCAGCGGCCGCAGGTTTTATATTCAGCTATGAAAGTCAAACTATGGAAGGGTGAGGGGAGAGATGCAAAGATCCTCCCAGGTGTTTTCTGTTCCAGGTGTCAGGCCTCTAATCCTCTCCTACCATCAGAGCACAGCAGAAATACCGGAGGTGGAAATCTCTTTAACAAAAGATTTCTTTTTTCTGTTTTGTCCCAAAGCTAATTCTGTGCTGGTAGCCCTTCTAAACAGTCATTTCACTAATATCAGTAAATATATCTTGATTTCCCCCCACAGATCCCTGCTTGGTTCCTGTTCTGCCCAAATTACTCCATTCCTAGTATTTTTTTTTTTTTTTATTATAGTCTAACACACCAACAGAAACAAGAAGACTTATTTACTCCTTGATCTCAGGTAGACATCATAATATTATAAGTTATAAATCCATTACAAATTAATGTATTAATTTGATATGATTTCAATAAAGATTCCAACTGATTTTCATTTTCAGACTCCCAAAAATGTATTCTAAAATTTACATGGAGACAGATAGGTTTCAAATAGCTAAGTCAATCTTAGTGAAAGAGGGCAATGAAAAAAGACTTGACCTTCAGATATAAAATGCTGTTACAGAGGGAACCAGCAGTTAGCATAATGGCTATGTCGCTGGACTCCCACGTAGTCGACCGCGGTTCGTGTCCCGGACCCGGTGGCTTAAAACTCACGCCGGGCGCGTGTGCGTGCGTGCCCAAGATCCCGAGAGGAGAATGGAGGAGAAGGGATTGCGGCGTGACCATCCTCCCTGGGGGGTGATTTCTCGCTTTCTGTCTCTATGTCTCTCTCTGTCTGTCTGGCGAGCGCACGCGCCCTACAGTGAAAATCTCTCCAAAAAAAAAAAAAAAAA